TATATACTAAATATATATATTTAGTACCTTGTACAATGAGTGATTGAGCATGTTGTGCATAGCATTCCCGCAGCTCTTTGGAAGTATATTAAGCCATCTTGAATCTAGCCATTGTGTCTTCTAGACCTCTTCATATTGCTGCACAGAATGGTTTGAAGATAGTAGTTGAGGAGCTACTAGCAAAGGGGGCATGTGTACGTGCCATTGATGAAAATGGTAAGTGCTACCATTTATATTGCCATTCCTGAATAATAAATATCAGACGTAATTCAGCAGGTGTCTGTTTCTTAAGTACATACAAACTAGAAGGCAATAATTACTATGCTAATTATAACAACATTTTCATTGTGTAATTTCTGCAGCTAGAAAATTTGATTTATTTAATACAGCATCTTTTTTTTTAAATCACACATAAAATATACCAGTCCCCTTAATTTTTGTTTTCCATTCATTTTTCACGGTTAGTGAAATAATTAAAAATGTTTAGCTTTATAAAAAGTAATTGGAAATAAGGAAGAATATTCCCTTTTAAATGCATCATTAAAATATGGTCAGAGTTGGGGAAATGCCAACTTGAGCTCAGTGGTGTCCAATTTCTTTAATTCTAAAAGGATATGCTTTCCAGATTTGGCGGTATGGTATCTGCAGTTACTTACCGCCACCCAGTGGCCTTTGAGGCATGAAAACTTCTGTGTCTAATTTTGCCTTGAACTTTTCTACTGGAGCTCATAAACCACTGAATGGATGGCAAACAAATATGAAAATAATGGCTGTCTATCACCAAAACCACCTTGAATTGGATCTAACATACTTTGTTGTGCACGAACATGGTGACTTTGGCAGTTGATTTTCAATAGAGCAGTCCCCACACTATATGGAAAATCACACTGTAAAATGCAACGTGCTTTTTAAACCATTTTGGAGTATGATGTGGGGATTTTCATATTCAAAAATTCAAAATCTTCACTTAGACATAAATAAGTTGTGAGGACATTTAAAAGCTTTTAAAAACTAGATATGAAACGTAATTACACAACTAAAACCTAGCCAAGTTACATGGCATGATGTGGATATTTAAAATTATGTAAACATTTTTATTTTTATCATTTTATTCTATTTTATTAAGTAAAATATTGGCCAGAATCCAGTGAACCACCCAATTAGTTCTATGTGCCAGTGGCTCTTTTGAAGCCATCATAGAAATTTCCACAGATTTCCATGGGGCCATTTGCTTCTCCCCTTGTATAAACGTGCAGGGATATATTTCTTTTTAATATCATGAGGGGCCTCACAAAATGTTGAGGTCTGTTTCCAAACGAAATAAAATATATGAGAGACAAGGATATTTTCCTTCAGTAAAAACAACAATACATCTTTCCGACCTTTTAAAAAGCCAGGCTGTTACTAGATGCAGAACAATGATGTTTCTGTGGGGCATTCTGTTAAGAAAATAAACAGCTCTTGATTTAATTGTGTTTTGGTGGCAGCTTTGTGTTTTAGTAAAAGTTTCTTTAAAAAGGAATAAGAAAGTCCTACATACTTACCATTTTATTTCAAAATAAGGGAAAGCACCCAGCTCCCAACCTTTTGAACATTGGCTTTCTGAGATATAACAGATCTTTTCACTCCAGTCTTATTACTGATTGAAAAAAGCTTTTGGTCTACATCTCTTTGCCCTAATATCACTTACCAAAAAGCAGTTTGTGATGTAACACTGAAAGAACATTTTTGGTATTCAAGGAAATCAGATACCCCATTGGATGAGCCCAGACAATGCAGCATACCTGAAGTAACTACTTTAGTCCTTCTTATTACTTTGATTTTTAAGATTATTTATAAAAACACATCTGGAACTAACATCAATAGACAACTTACTTAATTTTTATAGACTCTTGATCCTTGAACATGGAGCAAAATAAAATTTATATCTGAGTCATGTATAGGGTTAATTGTCTTCTGCATTAATAAAAAGCTCAATGTGAAAGACTCAAACAATGAAAATTGGTGTTTTTACTTCTGCTAATGTGAACATAAAGATGATGGCTTTGTAAAAACATACTTTCATATTAGAGATGGGGGTATTCGTATACGAATAAGAATATCCCCGCACGAGTGGTGTTAATGAGGGTCCAGCACCATGGGGCCAGAGGGTCCAACTCACCGATCCAACACAGACAGCACAATTCTACCAATGGCTCCACAGTGCGCGATCTGCTTGCCGCTCCTGGCAGGAGGTGGGAGGACAAGCCTCACTGCAAGGTTGAAGAGTGGTGAGTGGATCGCGCGCTGCAGAGTCATTGGTAGAATCGTGCCGTCCGTGGTGGATCGGTGAGTAGACCATCCAGCCCCATGGGGCTGGACCCTCGTTAATGTCACCTGTGCTGGGATATTCATATTTTCACTGCATATGAATACAAATACCCCCATCTCTTTTTCATAGATTCATGGAATAACTAATAATGGCAGTCACCTAAATGTATAATGCTCGCAATCATACTTGGGTTCAGAAAGTACAAGTATCATTATTATTTGTTTGAAAACAGATTAACTGAACGTTCCTATGGCCCTAATAACACAGCAACGTGTAATTACATAAATAGATGAGGAACTTACTGCAGTAGGTATACAAATGCACTTTAGCTGATACCATAGACTACTGGCCCTCAGGCTGGGAAATACTGGAAAATTTGGTAACTTGGTACCATTTTTGAATATCCAACTTCTACAGTTTCCATCATCAGTCTGAGGAGTCAAAAACCTCAGGTCAATGCTATATTTTCTTTCAGAATGTTGCCTTTGATCTCAGCTGGGCTCACCCAAAATCCTGTTGCTTAACATAATAAATTGTTCTAGAGTAGGCCCACTGAATTAATGAGGATTTAGTGAGCCCACTGGGACACCAGCTCAGGAAGATGTGAAAAGCTAAGAGGCACTACTATGTCCTCCTTCCCTTGTACTGCCTGAGGCAGCCCTGTGGCAGTGTGGCATGGCTACTTCAGGCAGCAGAAGTCGGTTTGTTTGTTTATTGGCACTTATATCCTGCCTCCCCTAGTGGGGACGCTACTCGGGATAGTCATTACAATGTAATATAAACCCTAACCCCCCCACGAATCCCCAACATAATACATAGACAGTACACCCCAAACTCCTAAGACAAATGAAATAAACAAACCAAATAAAATCAAGTGAATAAAACCAAGTGATGGCGACAACCTTTGGGTGGCACTGGGTTGAAGAGTACATTCACTGAGGGGGGAGAATATCCTTAAAGGCTTCCCTAAATAGTAATGGTTTCAACTGCCTTTTAAAACTTTGGCGGGAGGAGACCTGCTAGATCTCTAGCTGAAGGTCATTTTGAAGTGTGGGCCTGTGTTCCAGTGGAGGCCTTCCCTGCGTCACTCGGTGTGCCCGCCCGCGACAGCGAGGCCAAGGAAGATTCAGAGGAACGGGTACCATTTCTGTAGTAGAGATGCTCCCACAGGAAACAAGGTTTTCTAAACCGTTACAGGCTTTGGATGCTAAAACTAATACCTTGAACCTGGTCTGGGCCAAAACAGGTCACTAGTGCAGGGGAGCCAGGACTAGAGATACATGATAAGATATGTGGCAGTCTCTCCTGGCCATTTCCATCTTCCTGAGCTGGTACTAGCAATGTTTTTTAGTTGCTGACCTGGGCTGTCCAACTGCATCATTGGCAGCGCTGTTGGGAAAGATAGCCAAGTAGTCAAGGGCACGCACTCCAGCAGGCATTACATAGGCACATTCTGCTCATGTGACACACACTGGCACTGCTGCTAAGTTATCATTTGAACTGGTAGCAGGCTGGTACTGGGAAAGTGGGGAGTGATAAGCAGCCAGGAAATATAGGGATGTTGTATATATTCCATGCCACTTGCCCTTCACCCCTAAGCCAGCCTGCTGCCTCCAGGTGCAGTGGAGGATGCTGTCCCACCATCAGTGTTAAAGTAAGTTTCAGCTGCCTGTCCAACTGGTTTCTGTGCATGAAATGGGGGCAGGGTACTGTTTTGTCTTTGCCGCAGGCAGCAAAAGATCATAGGCTGGCCTTGCTTAGCTCTGCAATTTATGCATACGCTTAAAGATTGCCTTTTAATTAGGATAGAACTGTAATGTTTGCATGGCACTTGTATTGTTGCAATTGTGTTCTGAGGCATCTATTTTATTGGTGCAAGCAAGCAAACAAACAAAAAAGCCCACCTGATAAATATCTTGAAGCTGTGCTGAAGCATATATTTCTGAACAAAGTATATACAAGAGATAACTAGAGCTGGATAAATGCCATGTGTATTTCTCAAGATCTTTATGATAAAAAGTGAATCCACCTCTGCTGGTATTCATTCTCGGCTCATAAGCCACTGTGTTTTACTGACTTACACCCTATACTGGCGATGGCGAACCTATGGCACACGTGCCACTGCTGGCACGCAGAGCCCTTTCTGCGGGCACGCAAGCCATAAGTAGCCGGATCGCTACTTTCCTCCCGCAGCCAAACCTGCAGAGGCGGCTGCTAGCCGGAGCGCTACTCTCGTCCCGCAGCCAAACCTGCAGAGGCGGCTGCAGCTGCGGTGCTGGCACTTTGACAGGCAGCGGGCCAGAATCTGGAGCAGCTGCCGCTGGCGGCGGATCCAGCATTTACATTTCTGAAATGTCCGTGCCTGGGATTCCCCACTTCTGGTTCTGTCACTGCCACTTCTGGTTCCTCCGCTGCTATGGCCCACCGCCCACTGGGTTTTTTTAGTGGTCGGCACTCGGGCCCAAAAAGGTTCTCCATTACTACCCTGTACTGTCTTAATTATAAATGGCACAGTGTAGCAAAGGGACCAGATTAATCAAACTACAGTAGTTGTGTATCTTCTGACTAGAAACAGACAATTACACAAATTAGACAACAATCTGAGCATAACTGTACAATAATGATTTTTCAGTATATGGTCTGCATGCCACAATGCATAAAAATTAAATTTCAACTGCAATCCTGTATGCATTTACTTGAAAGTAAGCTCCATTAAACTCACTCTAGGAAAGATATTTGGTGAAAGGTGCAAAGGTGGCTCCTGACTGAGGCACTCTGCTTGCCCCTCCTCTTGTGTGAGTGGACAAGGGACAGGAACATTTCAGGTGGAGATGTCCCAAAGCAGGGCGCCTGTCTGGAAAAGTTCTCGGTTTCAGGCGAAGATGAGACAACAACAGGAGTATGGCCCTGACCCAGGTGTCAAGGCCTGTCTATCTCTCACAGTGTCATCCAGCCACACCCAGCAATAGTTCTCCACAAGATACAAGAGTAATATAGTTTTTCTACAGAGAAAGAGCTGTCACATTTGGAGAAAATTATTCAGCTCTAGTTCTGCTTGAGTATTTGGATTTTGTATAGAGGGTTGCAAATTCTTCCTGTCATTGGGAATGTTGCCGCATTTACTGTGTAATGTTCATAAACATGTCTCCCCTCATTATAACAGTATTTACTTAATAACAAAGTGAATGAGGCAGAATTAATTGTCATTGTTTTTAGTGATTAAATCAAGATTATTTGACTTGTGAAGGTATTTTTCGAAAAATATCATTTACATTTCTGAAATGTCTAGTATTGTTTTTTTACTTTTCATGAAAGTCATATTCACAATGAGAGTTCCTTGTACGTGAACAGAGGCTAAAGATGCCTTGGTTCATAAAGCCATTTGCCAGTCAGATGGTACTTACAGAATGTGGGCTACTTATACTTATTTTGTGGAGGCTGTAAACTGTCTGTTGCTTTGTTTTCATTTTTTTAGGCAGCTCTTGTCACAATCATATTGGTGTAAGCCATTCTGTGAACTGTGTCCTTTCCCAGCATGCCTAATTTTTAAAAGTAACACTGCCTTGCCTGCTGTGATTGTGACTAAACACAGGTTTCCAGGCTTATCATCCAGAGATGTATCTGAGGAAAACTCAGATCTCTTCTTAGTACCCCTAGTACTAACCATTGCTTTGTCTGCATTTATGCCCAGGTCATACACCAGCCCTGGCTTGCGCTCCTAACAAAGACGTGGCTGACTGCCTGGCACTCATTTTGGCTACCATGATGCCTTTTTCTCCTTCCAGTACAATGACGGCTCTCAACTTCGCTTCTTTTAAAAAAGACAATTTGATCAGGTCTCCTCTCAGCAATAGCACCAGTATGAGTAGCACCATTAACTCCTATAGTAAACCATTAAGTAATGATGTAGGAACAGAAAATGGATACAATGAAAATGATTCTGATTCTGAAACATTTTGATTTTGGCATTTCATGTGTTTTTATTTGTTGCAATTGGATTTAGATTGGTATTCCCCTTAAAAAAGACCTGAATCCCAGAGCTATAGTTGACCTACACGTATGACAGGAACCAATAAGCAACAAACCACTTACAGCTGCAGTCCAGAAAAGTGGACAGGGGTGGAATGGGGGGTTGGAATGCATTATGTTATTATTCTGCTACTTCCAGTTCTGTCATGCTTTCTGTAGGTCCTAAAGGCTCGTGTGGAAGTCTCTACCTCCTATTTTATGCAGAAAGTGAAAGCTGCCTTTTTCTGTTTTGACAGCACAAAGGAACAGGAACTGTTGTGTATATATTAATGTGTTAGTTCTAGTATACTGTTAATAGACATTCTTCCAGTACCCTGTTCGTAAATCATCACAAAATTTGGATCTCTTCACTTTATTGTCAACTTTATATTATGTAGTCTCAGTTTTTGGGTATCTTTGTTATACAAACCAAAGGTAAAGCCACAGGTGTTTTTGTCTGGGAAGACCTGCCAGTTCCACCACTTCCTAGGGGCAACCCAATTTCTAAATTCATATATTAAGCACTTAAATACACAAAAGGCACTTTTAAAAGACATTAACCACACTTTCACTTACAATTTGAAAACATTCAGGACCAAATCTTGCTTGCCTCAATTTGCATTAAAGAGATTATTGTTAAGGCAAATGTGATTTGCCTTACTTTTTATTGTTTGGCACAAGCTTACATAGTTTATTTGCACTCTACAGTTAAGGGTACCTGGGAACCTGCATTACCTGTGCTAGCAGGCAATGAACTAATCTAAGAATGATGAGTTGTAATGCACCTAAATATTTTATGTTTACCCATTTGAATATATTTCTAAACTTCACAATTTCTGAATTGAAATGTGGTATTTAGTTGTCTCATTTTTAAAATTTGCAGTGTATGAACTATATGTGTATGCTCCCCTATAATAGCTACCACCATGCTAAGATACAGAGCAGATAAATCTAAATCACACATGTAAAAGTGCAGCAGTCATCAGGAAGTACATAAGGGAATTGTAATAAATTAAAAAGGCCTTTTGGCAGATCACTTATTAAACATCTGCATTATGAATATCTGCTCCTTCTGCCAAAGCTTCTAGGTCAAATGGACCCCGTTCCTCATCTAAGAAAGATGTACAGAAAGAAGAATGAAGCTCTTAGCATTCAAAGAACTAACCAGCTGTATCATGAGGACCAAAAGGATTCACTATCTTTAATGGAACTGTATTATTTTTAATAATGTAAGTGAACAGAAATCAAATAACTTTTCTAATCATACATGCACACAGTGTTTTACATAATTAAAAGACTTGGCTGTATTATACACTTAATGACACACATTTCTAGCAGAAACTTTGACATTTGTAACAGATGATGATGTGTTGATCACAGTTTATTTTTCCAGACTAGATGATGTTCATACTTTTAATGTTAAAAGTGTTTATATTTATTTGAAATGATACAAGTGTCCAGAAAAAAATGACCATGGTTTGTTTTCCTCTTTAGTTTCTTTATGTCTTTTAGCTATGAATTTAGGCAAGCTTAGTATGTTCGGTTTAGCAGAGAAAACGGGCTTATGATAGAAACTACTGTCTTTGGTTCTTCTTCTACAGCAAGCTTGGTGTAGGGTGTTGTTTCTGCCCAGTTTGGCATGGGGAGCGGAGATGTATGCTGCATGATTCAACAGCATTCACTGCCAGATCAGAGGCAAACATGTAAAAAAAATCCATGGTGGATTCATTCCCTCAATCAGTAAATGGTGCTTTATCTTTCATAGTGGAAAGGAAGAGAAAAACTACAGAGTCAGAAGGCAGCTGTCCTTCCTTAATTATTGAAGCAAAATATGTTTTTCATCCCCTCACCCTTAAGATTAGAAAGAGAGGAGGTTTCAGACTGAGATGCTAATCTTTATTCAAACATGAAATGTGTTTTAGTCCCAGGTGCTCGTTCTGTGGCAGAATTTGCACAGAATTAGACCTACAATGTAGGAAACTGTCACCTACATAGCAATAATCAATACCCCCAAATTTCAGCCACTTAACCGTTACATTCTATTTCGGTAAACAGTCTGCACCTGAAAAAAAAAGTTCCTTAAAACCTGCTAAACTCTTGATTTTAGATTATCCTTCTCAATTGGAAACGTTGAGATCCACCAACAAAAAACTGATTTAGGAAGACAGATGCCCAAACAACATTTTCTTTCTGGGGAAAAAAATACTGAGATTAAAAAAAGAAAAGAAAAAAAGAAAAACAACCCTACTCCAAGATGTCCATGACTTTGTGCCATGGAGTAATATTTGTTTGGTCAGTTTTAACACATTAGGATGAAATATCCTGGATACAACTTCTTTAACTATGTACATGGCTTTGTCCTGGAGATATTTTGCTATCCCAAGATACATTTAGATGTGACTTTGTGTAGTAAAATTATCTCTTAAGCTACATATACCAGTTTCTTTGGTTTTGTTCCGTGAATGTTAGCACAACTTCCCATTCACATGCTCACTGCTCTTCTTGTCAAAGGGCTGGATTCAGATTTGCCTGCGTAGCTAGGCTGGTGGAAACAGAAATCCTTGTCTCACAGCAGTTTCTCCAGCCCTCTGGAAAATGTCACACAGAAGGTTGGGAGACTCTGCTGGATGTGGTCAAGTGTGACAGTGTGGAGGCACAAAACTGAGCAGAATTACCTTATGTAAATAGTATCCTTCCTTTTGCAGAAGCCACTTCCTGGATCCAACTTAGTATCTCAGAGTGATTCTTCACTTTACATTTAGTAGTGCCCTTCATAATCTGTCACATAGTATGCATGTATATTTTACCACCTATAGCAAAAAATATACAGTAATGTAAAAAAACACCCTCATTTACTACTGGTTCTTACGAAGGTAGTGGGAAGATGGGCAGAGACTCCAGGATGCGCCATAAACCGAAGTGCTGTGACTGCAAGCTACAATCACAGACTTACAAGCACCCAGCAAGAGCTTTTATGGAGTACAACAGGCTAAGCTTGCTGTAGCAGGAAATTTCTGGAAACTGTGTGAAACAATCAGGAGATTGTATTTTAAATATACGTACTTAGAGAGAGTGAGGGCTTCTGTAATGTTTTCTGTTTAGGCTAATAAAATGTTACTAAACAGATGACAATTCAGGCTAAAGTCACATTTTGATACAAAAAACAAAACAAACAAAACCAATTACACTGATGTTTGGCACTTGCAAGAACATCTAAAACACCTGTAATAGCTTACTCTGTATAGTTTCAGGGTAGAGTCTGAGAGGAATGTTGCTGTTAAGTAAAATGTAGTTGACTGCTGAAGGGAGTTAAACAACCATGGTAAACTCAACTACTGCTACAGATTAGACTGATGTAAATTAACAAATGGAAATTTAACCCTCACACTTTAAATCAGAAACCTCTTGAGTTTATGACTGTAAAAATTCACCAGTTTTTCCCTTTTCTGTACTGACTGTACTGTTACTTTTTATAACCGAGGTGGACATTCTAGAATTAGGGTAGGAAACTGGTTAGGGAGGCAATGGGACATTTCCTTTCCACCTAGGCACCCGTCCCCACAGGCAAGAGGATTCCAGGGGTAACTGTTGAATGTCCCTGACTTAACTGACACCTTAATGAAAACACCAACTGCTAGTGCTTCAGCCGAGAATCTACCTTTACTCCACCCCTGTTCATTAAGAACATGAGAATACATGGGTTCATTCAGCCATGCTTTTATACAGTATGACTCAGACAGCTCCCAAAGCGCAAACCGAATGTGCTTTTTCCATCCTTTGAATTTTCCATGCAGGAAACACCCGTGGGGGGGGGGCAGGGGGAATCACAAACCAGGCTGCAGAGATCCTTGGTTTTGTTCTGGCTACCTTCTGAGGGATGGCGAGGGAAGCAAAGTGACTGGGAAAACTCTATTGGTGAGATTAATAATATTTTTGAACAGTACTTGCGATGAAGTGTCCACAACTTGTGTCCACAGAATTGACCAGAAAGCTGCCATTTCCCTTTTAAACTAATCAGTAGAGCAGGGATTCTGTATTCCTCTAAATTTCCTTCAGAGAACTATGGGACTCTGGTCCCAATGTTATTGTGCAAGGAGGAATGAGAAATCTGCCTGTGTGAGCGAAAAAATGGAACTGAATTTTGGACATCACCCAATAATATTTTCATATTAGTTACTATGTAGGGATTCCTCAACTAAGCTTAATGTACTTAAAAGATTTCCTTTTCTTCAAGGCTGCAATTATTTGCATTCCTTCATGGAAGTGAGTTCTAAGTAAATAAAGGGAACTTCTGAATGCATGTGTTTAAGATTGTGATGGTGTAGAACTTTATTCCAATATTTAATCATAAATCTGTTGGAAAGACAATGTTTTTAATTAAGCCCTTAAAATATTTTTGATAGTGTATCACTTGTACATTTGCAAAAAACAGTACAATCCATTAAAAATAAATGAGATTTGTATTTAACCTGCACTTAACAGTTAGAATTGCATTTTAACTGTTATCTAAATGGCAATACCGTTTTGTAGCAGATAAGGTACTGTATGTAAACTATAGTATTACATTTGGTCTGTTTTGAATGGTTATAGCTTTGTCAGAGTCTCAAGTGCTCTCTTCTGCTCCACTGAAGTCAGCAGGACTTGCTTTCAAGTGAACATGCTTCCAAGTGAAAAGTGTGGCCTGGATCATGAGTAGTAATGCATGTATTCTCTCTACATTCAGATTTCTGCATCAACAACTTGTATTTCGTTCTTGTGAAACTTTAACTGCAGAGTTACAATGCATGGCACTTACTGCTTGCTGGTTTCTGTTGTTTCAGTTTCAAGATGAAAAAGCTCAGGGGATTTCAGTTTATCACTACTAAAAGGGCACCATGTCTTGTTTTGGTACTTCTCACAGCAAACATCTGCTGTATTTTACTATGAATTATGACAAATGTTTAACTTTTTTTGGTCTGCTCTGTTTAGAAACTTGATAATGTAACTGGTTTCATCATGTAAGAAACTTTTAGAGTGCCTTTTCATATTTGTGTATGCTGGATATCTATTGTGAATATGTCTTTCTTTAATTTGAGTGATACAGAAGCAATATAACACCTATACATTTTTGTTTCAAAACTTTATTTGAATGCGTTTTCCTTTTTTTAAAAAAAAAATCAACTTGTGTTACATTGAAAATGAATATGCTAAATTTGTATAGGAATTGTGTATAATTTTTCAAAGTGCTGCAAACACTTTCTTATTACACAAAGCAAACTTTAGGTCAGTGTTATTGGGAAGGGTGTTTTAAAATGGTGACAATCTTGAGTGTGTACAAAATTATGTGTTTGTAATGCAGTGATATACATATTAAAAAGCCAATATCTGATGTTTTTGTAGTTTTGTCTTCATATTTTACGCTTTTAGCATGTGCAATATATCTTTACAAACCATGGTGATATGAATCTGGTGCCAGTGTTACATTTTGTATGAATTATTTGTAATAAACAATATGAAATACTGTTGAGTAGTTTCAGTGAGTTTACTTTAAAAAAAATGTAACTGAAATTTAATGATTTAACACAGGAATAAATGAGATGGTTGTACAAAATGGTTATGAGAGAGTAATTCTGATCCCAGCCTCAAACTCCTTCAAGCACAATTTAGTATCTTTTCCAACTACTGAATACTGTATTAATTGTAGTGGCATATCTTAACTGCAAATGAATACTGAAATACTTCAGATGGATATTTTTACAAATAAATGGTACAAATAAATATGAGTCTGTTTGGTAGTGTTTCTGCATATTTCCTGATATCTGTGAAGCTGGTCCAGAAGGAAGGGCCCTATACACACATATTATAAAATTCATAAGAGCAGAAAAAAATAATCAATCTTCATACTTAAAGCTTACTGAAAAACTAATAAAAATACATAACACAAAATGCATAAAATATAAAGACTATTGATGCTATTATTATAGGCAGTGATAATTAAGCAGTTGTATGTATAGCATAAATGTGAATATTATTATTATTTATTGTATTTATACCCCGCCTATCTAGTCATTTCGACCACTCATTGTAATTAAATTTCTATTATGTCAGTTTCCATAAAATAACTACAGTTGTGCCTCACTTAACGATTGCCTCGCTTAATGAGGAAATCGCTTGACGATTAGTTTTTTGCGATTGTAAAAGCGATCGCAAAATGATGGTTTAAATGGGAAAAATCTGCTTCAGGATGATCGGTTCCCTGCCTCAGGAACCGATTTTCACATTACGACGATCTAAAAACAGCTGATCGTCGGGTTTCAAAATGGCCCCCAGGTGTTTTCTAGGTTAAATTCCTCGCTTTACAGGCACTGAAAATGGCTGCCCGTATGGAGGATCCTCGCTGGACGGTGAGTTTTCAGCCCATTGGAATGCACTGAAGGGTTTTCAGTGCGTTTCAATGGGCTTTCTTATTTCGCTTAACGAGGATTTCGCTCTACGGCCATTTTGCTGGAACGGATTATCCTCGTTAAGCGAGGCACCACTGTATAAGCATCTACATAATCTGATTAATTAAACCTCCAGTTGGTTGTTGTGGGTTTTTCGCGTTCTTTGGCCGTGTTCTGAAGGTTGTTCTTCCTGACGTTTCACCAGTCTCTGTGGCCGGCATCTTCAGAGGACTGGAGACAGTTGGACTGTTCAGTTTTGCCGCTTGTTACCTGCATGGACGTCTGTCTAGTGAGCAAAGTGTGAACCTTCTCATGTGGCTTTTGCAGCTTCAAGTCTTGGTCTTTGGCATTTATTTTGGCATTGCTATCCCCCAGGATGCCTATGTGGTAATAGGCACTATGCTGGGTTCAAAAATCCTGCAGTATCTTCTTCAAATAGTCTGCTACCTGTTAGAAAACAATTATTTACCCCATAATTACCATTCTGCATTATCTACTTTAGTAAAATTCATGAGCAGATACTTCAAAGTTTAATAAGGTGGCAGGAGTGAGAATTAGAGCAGTAGGACCAGTGAATTAATAGCCATATTAAAAAGACTGCCAAAAAGTGGGGAGGGGAACAATGTCTTCACGCTTTGTTGATACAGAGGAGATAACACGGAATGCAAGGGTTGACTGTAACTACAGAGTGACTAGAATCACTCTTTAAACCTGCTTTTCCAAACTGCTGACAGGAATTTCCAGTTTCTCAATAGCAGTAAAACCAGATATATGCTTTTGCTTAATTGCACATACATCTACAAACATTTACAGACAGGGTTTAATTTGGGCCAAAGGGTAGAGATACTTATTTCCAATTTGTATGACAATATTCGACACAAGTGACTTTTAAAGGAGTTCATTCCTAACTTAAAAGTAGTTTTTATAGTGCATGCCATCTTCAAACCAAACCAGACAAGCCTTGGCAAGCAATGGAAAAAATTGTAAGACAGAAGATCCTTAGTGATTGCTACATTCATTTTTATGGGATTTGCTAATCAGAGAAATTTGCAAATCTCATTTACCATCACTTCCTTAATTTTGGAGCACACGTGGGGGAGAATAGGGTGACATTTTCACACATGGCAGCAATATTTCTTAATTGTTGTTGCTGGTGAGATTAATGGTGGCATATATTTTTAATGAATTGTTATTTTTCACTGAATATACTGCTTCTCTTGTATTTTTCAAAGATTCATGCTATCTTTTGTATTTTTGTCAACACATAAATAAAACATAGTCCTGCTTGTTTTGCTATGGAAAAAAACACCAATAGGTGCTCAGAGCAGAATCTAACACCCGAGGAAGAAAATTTACCACCACTGAGGGAGGACTATTCTACACATGCCATATTTTCCTCTAGCCACTATGTTATATACTGATAATTTGTCTCCACTTAATAATTTCTGCTAAATTTGATCTCAAAAACCATAAAGAAATAAGATTGTAATGTTTCTGGTTGCTTTTGTTGTCAGACCTCACAGGTGTTGTGTGCTTAAGGGATAGTTCAGGCAGCCACTGAATTAATTTGACCTTAATTTTTTTTTTTTACATTGACCACCTCTATCCGATTCAGTATTTGGGGAGGAGGGATCTGTTCATGCATGTGCAGGTGACTAACTAGCCTAATAAAATACTGGAAGCTACAGAAGCAGCGGGGGCAGGTAAGCTGATCCTGGACTTGTTGGACCGTTGACATCCTTGCTTTCTGGCTTTTCCTTTATGCATTCTTGATCATTTTTGTTTTGAATTCTTTAGCGCCTTGTTTGACAGCATTTTGCCAGGCACTTTGGTTTTGAGAGACAGCTTCTCAATTAATATAGTGAATATTCTTCATTATCTTTGGTGTATCTTTGAATCATTTTCCCCCCACTATCTCAATTACCATGCTTCAGATGAGAACTGGTTCCAGAACACCTACAGTAATTTGTTTCTTCAGCTTTGTAAAATGGAGGGGAAATGGTGCTGGCGGTAAGACAAATTTCTGAATCCACTTTGTGGTGACATCTGTTAGATCAGACCTGGGCAAAGTGCGGCCCGCAAGCCACATACAGCCCGAGAGCTGCTCCTGTCCGGTCCGCTGGGCACCGCTGAGTGAGCTGGAGCTCCGGCTCCGGTCACCCAGCACGGCAGTAAGCAAAACTAGTGAGATCAGATGCTGGGATCTCGTGAGTTTTGACTGTTACTCTTGAGTCACAGGCTGCGGAGCTTGCAGCTCAAGAGGCCGGAAGGGATCCTTGCGCAGGTGACGTGATGACGCATCACTTCGCCTGTGCAGGATAGAAGACAGTTGGAAAGGAAGGCCGCAGGGGAACAGAGGACAGGTGTTTTGGACCTGTGTTGGGTTTTTTTTTTTTGGTGTTGGGTTTTTTTTTCTGTTGAATTACAATGCTCTCACACAGTTAACTCCCTAAAAAAATTAGGGAGTTAACTATGTCAGCCTTGTAGTTTGTTCACCGCAGGGCATCACCCAATGATGTGTCCCCCTATAGAAATTCTCCACCTGTGTTAGACCAACTAAACAAGCACAAAACTATTTGTACAAGTTTTCAGGTTAAAAAAAAGACCCCGTCATTGTGCCTAACATTACAAAACAAGGGGTGGGGAGCTCAATGTTACAGCAAAGTAATTTACATGCCATAAGACATTAAAGCATAGCTCATCAAATAAGCATTTCCTTTTTTGGCACCTAGTTTTGCCAGGAACAATAAAAGCTCCAAACACCAATACATTTTGAATCTCCTTTTTGAAAATACATATACCAACCCAATCTCTGCCCAATGTGTAGTCCAAAACTTCTTTATGAGATCATAAATCCTTTGGCCCTTCTTGTCAGACTGAGAACGATTTTAAAGGCAGTATCAGGTAAATCTGAGTGGCTTCAGCACTTAACCAGGATAATTTTTGGACCTGCCTCTCTTCTTACACCCAGCCTGAAGAGAAGTCCGGAAGAACTCGACAAAGTTCCCATATGGGAATTGTTTTTCTGGTCCGAGGCGGGCATTACTGTGCCTTCTTTTAAAAAAAAAAAATTCTGAGCTTGTCGTTCCTCTCACTAACGAATAAAGTCGGGAACCGCCTGTCTGTCTAGCGACTCAAGAGACAGCCTGGGTCCTCCTCGTTACTCCTCGTCTTCACCCATCAAACACCGAGCGCTAAAGAACGGAGGAACACCAGGCCGACCTGGCCGCGGCCCGCTCTCCCTCACCCGACCGACCTTTCTAACATGGCGGAGTCGGCCAGCGTTTCTCCTTTGAACGCCCAGCTGTCTCCAGAGGGCGCCTCACTCCCCCCCCAAACAGCTTTCTTTTGCCGCCAAGATGGCGGCGACGGCCGCCTCCCGAAAACCCCACCACCCGAACCGGCCGGTACGGAGAGTCCTTCCACACAGGGCGGAAGTCCGAGTTTATTCTTAATTCTTCTTCCCGCCTTCCCTTTCCCTTCAACTTTCGAAGCCAGCCCCCACCTCCCGTCCCGCCTTTCTCGTAACTCGTCAGCAAGCTCTGCCTCGCCGCGCCTCCTCCTCCTCCTCAGCATCTCTCTTTCCCTGGGTGTATGTGTGGAGTCGCTGAGAGAACGGAGCTGGCGGCTCCGGGTTGTTCGGCCATGGGGAAAGGCGAGGCGGGACACGGGGCGGCGGCGGCGGTGGTCCCCGGGGGCACGGCCTTGGCGGCGTTTTATGGGGCGCTGGCGGCGCTCGTGGTCCTCGGCGCCCGGGACGTGGTCTTCCACTACGAGGAGAACCGGTGCAGCATGACCTACATGTTCGAGTACCCCGAGTACCTGGTGAGGGGCGCCGGCGGCGGCGGGGAAGGAGACGGACAGGGACAGGGATAGGGATGGGATGGGCGTCGGGAGTGCCCTCGCTCGGGAGCCTGCCCCGAGAGAGGAGAGGAGAGGCTCTTGGCCGAGCCCGAGGTGGCTTGGGGCGGCGAGCGGGTGCGGCGCCCGCTGGGCTCAGAAGGGCCGCCTCTGTGGGGAGCAGAGCCGTGCCCCTGTGCTGGGGAAGGCGCCCTTTCCCTTTCCCCTGGGGCTTCCCCGAGACAAGGGCGAGGGAGTTCACACCCCCACCCCCTTCGCCTCTGGGGTGCTCCCTTCTTGCTCCGGAACCCCGCTCCAGTTTCCCTTCTCCGGGGCCTGGCAGAGGACAGGTGTCTCTCTCTCGCTCGCTCTCTCAGTCGGATGGAGCCCGTGTCCCAAAACGACGCGGTCGCTCTTGAAGCGGAGGAGGGGCAGGCTAGCGCAGCCCAACAGGCAGAGAGCAAAGGCAAGGGTTGCCGCCCTAAGCACGTGGACTCGGCGCTCAGATCCGGCGAGATCCGTGAGATTCCCATGAAGTGTGGATTGTCCTGTCCGCGGCGTGTAGTCTTGAATTTTCAGTGGTGAGATCCAGGGGACTCAGCCATGAACACGGCTCCCTCCTCTTCATCCAAGCTCACACACATCATCTTTGTCACACTGCATATGTGAATTTCCCTTTTTGTCCAGAGCTGATTTCCAACAGCTGGCTGGAGAGCGCAGTGGTTTAGGCTGTGGAGGCAAAGGTTGGGGATTCAATTCCTCAGGGTGCTGCTTCCTGGGGATAAAGCCAAATGGCTTGGGGCAAAGTGCACAGTCCCAGGATGCCCCTAAATCAATAGTTTCTAACCTTTTAAAAAGTCAAAGAGCCCTTTTATATCTGTAAACACTAGCTTTAATATCTGACTCTGAAATGTCAAAGAAGAAATTATTTAACAAGGGCTACAAGCAGCAATTTTCAGCCTTGTGCAGAGGAGGAGGAAGAGATCTGCGCACAGGGAGGCAGAGATGCACGTGCACACATCCAGTTTAGAGGGAACTTTGGCTACAACATATATGGATATTCATAGTTTGAAAATATTAAAAGAAATCCAGAAAAAGCTATTTTCACATGTATTATCAGAACTCATCACTAGAGGGAGCCAGATACTGTGCTTTGAATACTTGTTACAGCCGTACAACCTGTTTTTGTAATTTTCTGTTTCCAAACTAAAATCCATAGAAAACAGTGCTTTAATTTTTACTTTTTTTCCCTGCTGTACAAAAGGGTTTCTCCAGAATGCGTTGTGCCTGGAGTTTTCTAATGCCACCCCTGTTCCTAGCGCAATCCGCGTATCGGTTTACGAAGTTTTTGCATTACATAACATCCCAGAGGACACATTAATTTTGTAAACCGAGGTACGCCTGCAGTGAAGAATACATAGCATGGTCTCTGACACCCTCTAGTAGCCAGGTAATGCATGTGAAATAATTTTTCTCTCTCCACCCCCATATACAGTGGTGGCTCATAGTACATCAGAGTAAAGCACCAACACAGATTGCATGCATAAAAAGAAATCTTTAGCTAAATATATCATAATATTACAAAGCATTTGATGTGTGAGAAAAGAAAACATTTTAACTTGTAATCTAAAGAAAATTAATTCAATGCAAGCATCTGTTCCAGAGTTGGGGAGCTAGCACAGAAAAAGCCCCCTTGTGCCTTCATAAAGCACTTCAAAAGCCCTGGAGCAGGACCTCATACAATGACTTTGATGTATGCAGAGGAGTGGCATGGGAAGAGGCATTCCTTAAAATATTTGAGTTCCAAACTGTCTACATGCTCCTAGATTTACACAGCCTGTTCTGAATTAGAAGCCCTAAGAACTTTGTCTCAAAGTTTTCACTTTTGTGCTAGTTATTTTTAAGTGTGATACTCCTGTGCTAGTTGTATTCCCTCAATGATTTACTTAATGAATAAAGAACTGTGGGCTTTGCAGCTTACCTTGGGCCACTCTGGTTGTATATTCCGTCCACATGAAGACTGTCTCAATCCAAACATTTGCCTGGAATAACATTTTAGGTTTTTGTGCAAGGTACTATGAATGGTTATATCCCCAGAATAACACATCTAGTGGCCAGTTCAACCCTCAGTGGTTTGGGACCTTGTCAGAAAACCTTTCCCAGAGAATATCTACCCAGTTAACCGAATCCTCTCAAGGCCCTATTATTGAGGGTGCCTACCCCAAGAAAAGTAAGGAAAAGCTCCATCAAGAATCAGGCATTTTCAGTAGTGGCACCCTTTTTGTGGGATACACTTCCTTTGAAGTTGGACAGGCCTCTTCCCTACAAACTTTTAGAAGATTAGTTAAAACAGAATTGTGTAGGGGGGCCTTCAGCAACATTTTACTATACAGTAATCTACTTCATGACTGTTTTTATGTCATCTTTTGTGATACTATGTTATGTTATACTTTGTTATGTCTATCCAGTTGGTGTGGTGTATTGGTTTATTTAATTTTGTTAGAGTTTTTTTTCCAGGTGTCATCAGGTGTTCACTTTTAGTCATTTATTTATTTATTTATTAGAGGAGAACAAGTTTACATAACAAGAACAAAAATTATAAAAATCCAGCAAAAAAAAAAAACCTTAAATGTCCATCAAGGTTTTTTGGTTTTTTTTGCTGGATTTTTATAATTTTTGTTCTTGTTATGTAAACTGCCCTAAGTAGTGGGTGGGAGGATGGATGGGTGGATAGTCCGTCCCACTGAATTTAGTGGAGCTTATTTCCATATAACTGGTTTGATAGTTGCCTGGACCACTTGATATATTTGTATGAATTGCATGTCATAGGAAGCAGCCATCTTATGAAAAAAATATAGGATTTGGCACGAGTATTTGGGGTACTAAATACAATATGGGCTTAGTTCCTTATTCAGGCTGCCTTTACACGTCTCTTTAATTAACACCAACTTCAGCACTGGATAGAAAAACGCTTAAGAATGCTAAAGAGCCCGCCCACTCACTCTTTTACATATTACTTAGGTTATAATTTATTTGTTGAAATCTGTTTTTGTCTCAGGAACCTCAGTGCAGTAGCAACTATGCTTTGTTTGCAGTGGGTGGTGTGTAAGATTGTTTTACAGTGGCTTTAAAAAGATTTTCCTCATACCTTGATTTTTTTAGTAAATACAGACATTGTGCAGAATCTTGTTGTAAAGTTACACCGTGTAAAGCAGACACATTGGTGCAAATAAACAAATTAAACTCTTCCTATCCCTCCCCCTTCAAGTTCAAAGGCTCCCCCGGGTTTCCAAATAAATACAGCAGCATAATTCTACTAGGCTGCCCATTCACTGTATAATGTATCATAAGGGCTATATGTTAATTAGGCTGGCTGGATAGTTAGGTGTTTGGCTATGGAGGTTGGTGTTTCAGTTCTCCATTCTGTCTCCCAAGAGAAGAGCCAGCTTGTGTAGTTTTTGTTAAGGTGAACAGTGGAAGATGGAAAATAGAAGAAAAGATGAACATGGTTTCACAAATAGCTGAGAGAGAATCTGAAAACATAAAAAGGACACATATAGAAAGTGAAAGGAAGGCTAGGCCATAAAGGAAGAGTACAGACAGATAGCAAAGAATTGCAGGGATGGCATTAGGAAGGCAAAAGAGTGACCAGGTTAGCAAGAGACACTAAAAGCAACAACAACAAAAATCTTCAGATACATTGTGACAAAATGCGGACAAAAGAAATACAGTAGTGTCTCAGCTACTCAGTGGGGATGGAAAAATGATGACAGAGAAAAGGCAGAAGTGCTCAATTCCTGCTTTAGCTTGTACTTTTCCCAAAAGACAGTCTATGATCCTCCAGTACAAGTGAAGGGGACAAGATTGCAGCTTGACATTGATAAATAAATAGTCAAGGAATACCTTATTACTTTTTATGATTTAAAATCTTCAGAGCCTGATGAATCCAAGAGTAGCTCTGGACATTGTACTTTAAGAAGGATGCTGACAAACCGGAATAAGTTCAGAGGAGGAATTATGCAACAACGATAATTAGGGGATTTGAAACTAAGCCCTACAAGAAAGAACTGTGCATGTTTAGCTTTGAGAAAAGAAGATTGAGAAGAGTTGTGATAGTACTCTTCAAATAATAAATAGTTCAAAAGTCATATCTGTGTTGTAATGAATGGTGTCATTTCTTACTTTATGAACATTACCATATAATGGTCAAAATCCTATCCATGCTAACATAAAGTTTGCATAACTTGCCATGACTAACTGTGGTTCATTACTGAAATGCTAGGGTGCATCTTGGTTGATCAGCCAGGCACATGAGCAACTCTGTGAGATGTACACCAACATCTTGCCAGTTAGCCGCAATTAGTCACGGCAAGTTATGCAAACACCAATAAGATTCTGGCCCTTGTACTTGTACCTTTATAACTAAGAAAATGTAATAGTTACGGTAACTAATTTTGGGAGGTTCTGCTGAAAACCCTTCAAAATGGTGGGTTCCCTGAAAGCAAGTAAAATATATGAGACGTTTTATATATGATCATGTCCCTCGCCTCCAGTGAGGGAGAAGGTC